AAATAACTTAATAATAGGAAAATTAAAAATTAATTATTTTATAATGATCCTGAATTAATTCTTATAGAAAATAATCTTTTTTATCAATATAGAAGAAGAAATGTTATGTTTTTGTTCTGAAATAAATACGACACATTGAAATAAATCTTTATCTTTTTAAATTTTCATTAATCTGATTGTTTGATAAGGAAATATATTTTTGAAAATAAATTGAATTAAAAAATATGTAAAATTAATAATAAATTTGGCATGTTTTTTTAAATAATGACATAATTTATTTAAATTTTGCAGATTTAATTTTTTTATTTAATTTTTTTTTAAATTAAATTTCCTTACTGAACGGTCAGAATAAGAGTAAGTTCTCCAAAATGTATTACTAATATTTTTTCTTCATTTTTTATTTTAGGATTAGCATTTTTTTTTTTGGAATTTGTAAAATGTTAAGTTTTTTAAATGAGAATATACAATAGTAAAATATTTAATGATAATTAATGTAATAGCGTAAATTTTTGTATCTATATTGTACAATAAAAAGTTTCTTTTATTTAGAATCATTGTTATTATGTTTGGAGAAATAATTTTTTTTATTTATACAAGAATATGAAATAATTTTTTTTAATGTAAAATATAATTGTCCACTTACATTAAATATTATTGTCTTAGGATACATAAATTTATAGTTATTGTCGATTTCTCCATGCACAATACATGTTCTCTAGAGTATGCATTACTATTAATTAATAACATACTGAATAGCTTTATATGGCAGACATACCGCAGAATTATTTCTTTTAAGATAATTGTGTTCAATAAAATTAGACTAATGAGACGTATGCACAGGAGTGTAGATTCTCGTTTTAAATAAATATTTTTGACAATACTTGTCTTGTACATTATATTTAGATAATAGATCTACTTAGATTGTATGTGTGTATGTGTGCGTGCGTGCGTGCGTGCGTGTGTGTGTACATATTTAGTTAAAAAATATTTATAACTAATCTTGTAACAGCCTGATGAAACTTTTAAATATCTATAAATATTTATGCCACTTTCGAAGACAATTTAGATTTTACGAAATATTTATCGTACAATCGCAATACAAGATAAGTATAACTTTGTATTAACTAGAAATGTGTTGAGGTTTTAATAATAATAATAATAATAATAATTTTTTTCCGAAACTTTCAGGAATATAATGGATTCCGATACGAATTCTTTAAAAATCAATGACGAAAGACCTGTTGCAGTTGCGATCTCCTAAGGGGTATTGCGTAGAAAAATCCAAATTGAAAGTAAGTCTACATACAAAAAACATGTCAAGAAAGCTGTATTCGTCGCCTTCTGTTTTGTCTAAGCGTAAAGTAAAAGTTTATAGTGAAAAAATATTAAAATATATTTAGAGAAAAGAGAAGTCGAGCAAAAGAGTTCGAACCTGCAGCGGCATTGATTTTATTGTCGCTTCGCAGTTATTTTCATTTCTGCGGGCATCGCGAAAAATTTCTTGAATTGAATCAAGGAGCATCACAGAGATGCAAAACATCATCTGCACAATGGAGAGCGTTATGTGAGAAGCACACCGGAGGATTAGAGTTATTTAGATATTATTTTTTAGAGTTATTTTTGCTATGTCTGCAAGACGAAGAGGGATTGCACATGCAACACACACACACACAATGACAGCTGCCAGTTGGTATGCGATCTGTGCGGCAAGGCTCGCTGGAATTTATTCGCTTTTAAGAGGCCACCACGTGACGTCTACAGCAGTTCTCTTCAGCACGCGTGTGAGAGGAAGTTCACGATAAAATAATCGCTGGGGCAGTACCGCGCAAACTGCACAATAGCCAGGAAGCAATCGTCTACCACGTGCGGTAAAATCTTGAGCAGTAAGGACTCCCTGAGGACGCACGTCATGACGACATGTGATGACTATATCTGCAGGGCAACAGATTCACGATCCAGAATGTGTACAATCAGTATCTGCTGATCAGCATCAGATCTGCGATGTCTAGTTAGAATTTCATGTAGAAGTCGAGCTTAATCACGCATAGAAAGAATCATCATGGTCCTTTACCCTGAATTATTCACGATATCGACAGGTCATCTTATCAAGGATCTGCTGAAGACGAAAACGGAGAAGAAGAATTAAACGTTTAAAAGAAGAAAACTTCGTCGGAAAACAAATACATATGTCAAATTTAGTTTTAATTTTAAAAGGATTTGTGACGAAAGGATTGTGACGTATTTTGCAATGAGAAGGAAAAGTTAATATTATTGTATTAGGAGAGAAAGCATCTATATATTAATAAATTTTAATAAGTATTTTATATAATATATCAAACATGTCTATAATAAATCCTAATAAATTTTATAATCTTACATTAAAGCTATTATTTCTTTTCTAGATTGTTAGATTAAAGAAGCAAAGTCTTTAATACTAGGGAATGTTTGCATTCTGAATGCTATGGGATTATTATCTTAAATATTCTTTACATGTAACTATGTATTTAAAAGTATCTGTAAATATTTTGCTAAATAACAAAGTATTTTATTTAGAATTTTTTGATGAGAATGCCCGATGCTAGTATTTTTGGTTTGATAATATTTATATAATATTCCTATTCATCGTTATTTCTTTTAATAAAAAGATCTGTATCTAAGTTTTTAGATTGAAAATTGAAGATTGTTAATTCGATATCATATTGGATTTGGCTAAAGAAAGTATGTACGCTATATTTTTATTATTATTTATATAGTGACATGACATTTGCATATCGTGTACTCTAAAGTGTGACAGTATTAAAATTGTTATATATAAAGTGGTAAATAATAATAAAATAATAACAGTATCATTTTGAATTTTTCTGATTTTACTTCACCTTCTACAGTTTCTCACGTATCTTTAATCGTGATATCCGTCATTAAAGGAATATGCGATTTGTTAATGTTTTGTATTATCGTAATACTTATAATAGAACAATGCGTACTGAAATATTAGCTAAAATAATAAATTTATAGTAATTATTGAAAGAAAACTGTAAAATGTTTGTAATAATCCTTTTATCTTTAAAACTTCGAAACTTTTCAACTGAATGTTAAGCTTACATTTTACGTTAAAGTCGGCCGTGAAGTTTTTGGTCAAAGCGGATAAATCGTTACTGGAAAATAATATGAGCGAGAAGAGGCACTTTTCTCATATTTTTGTACGTTTCTTGACGAAAGCATTTTTTTATGTCGTAGGTTTGATTTGCTAGAAATGGACGGGATCAAGAGCGAGGGCATACGAGATTCCCACGCATTCTTCATCGAGACGTCTTCGAGTATCGCCGAGATAATCAGCACGGACAGCAGTAAAGAGAACAGGGGTGTAGTGAGACGCGTGCATTACGCCTGCGACGTTTGCTCGTTCCCGTGCCGGACGAAGGGGAGTTTGAGAAAGCACATGCAGCTCCACAAGAACACGTGTAAAATGTGCAACGAGCTGTTCGTCACGTCGGAGAAGCTGGAGCTTCACATGGTCGTGCACCATGGCGAGCCCAAGTACACCTGTAAACTGTGCTACTCCGTCCTGTGGAACAAGCCGGACATGAAGAAGCACTTCCTCGTGAGCCACTTGGATCCCTTCTGCAACACGTGCACCGCCTGCAACAAGGTGTTCCAGTCGAAGTACGCCATAGAGAGGCACATGTACAGCCAGCACACGAAGCTCTCGGTGGCGTGCACCATCTGCAGACGCGTCTACAACAGCTACCACGCGCTGAAGGCGCACACCAAGCTGATTCACCTGAAGACCGGCTACCAGTGTGAGATCTGCAAGCGGCGTCTCCTCTCCGCGGACTCCCTGGAGGCGCATCTGCGACGGCACGAGGGCACGCGGAACATGGACTCCTACATCTGCACTACGTGCGGAGAGACTTTCCTCACCAAAAATAACCTGAACAAGCACGTGGTCATTCACGGCGAGGTCAATCCCTACGTATGCCCCGTTTGCCAAAAGGCCTTCGAGAAACGGGCGAATCAAGTGCAACACATTTTAACGCACATGAGTAACGTTTACGCGTGCGACATATGCGGACTGAGATACTCGCGACGGGCCGCCCTGATATGGCACAGGAAAATGCATCCTGGACCGCTCGGAAAACTGCCGGTTATACCCGTGATAGGCATCGTGAGCGAGTTCGTCAAGAATTACATTAGCAAAACGAAAAACTTACCAAACACATAATCCGAAGTCTGACGGTTAAATCTAGAAAGTAACTAACCGAATCGTTTATTTAGACTTTACTTTTACTTTAAAAAGAGATAGGATTTTTCTAAAGACAAATTTCTATCAAATGCGTGATCTTTCTATAAGTGTCTTCAGTAATTGCAATTATAGAATAAGATGTTTGTTATATATTTTTTCTCGGGTACATTGCGAGTTTCTGTTAACGATGTTGCTATATTTTGTCATAAACGCAGTTCGACTTATATGATTACTTTATATATGTACAGCGAATTTACTCGAAATATATGAATACGATTAATTCAAGTCGCCTTTCCCAAATTGTTTCTCCGATTTATTCTTTTTAATTCTTATTGTTTTTTCTATTCCCCGATGATTACGTTTATTTATAGATCTGTAGAATTTACTTATTTATTGTCAGGTAAGTTACCATTTGCCATTAATTAATTATGCCACATAATTAATTATGGTACTGATACGCACTCTTTTTTTTTTTTAGGTGATTCGAGAGTTTTGTGTTGCATTATGAAAAGCCGATATTTTATTTTCTGCAAATCTCGGCAGAGACCTCTAATCACACTTAGGAAGGTAACTTGAAGAACGACGACAATAAAGCCACCGAATGTTTATTAAACCGCCTCTAATGGTTATTATATGTCGCTCCCAACTACCTTCTCCTCCGCTATCAAGTTCTCGATAATTTTATTTGGCGTATAAGCAATCGTACCTTTGATTTGTAGCTTATGATAACGCGAACTTTTACCTTTTTATGTTTTAGAATGGATCCGTTGAATGTTGAATCCAATGTCCAAAAACCGTTCATCGGAATCAAATGCGAACGGACGGAAAGAGAAAAATCGTTCACGGAACGCGAAGGACGACTGTTAGAAAAGATAAACGTGAGAGAGGAGCTTAATCCGCGGATCGTAACCGAGGAGAATCGGCTGACTAGAAAGAAAGCGTGTGTAGAGTGCGACCACTGTCGCCGCAAGTTCTTGAAGAAGAGCAACCTCGCTGAGCACCTGAAGCAGCATAGGCACAAGTGCGCCGACTGCCCGAAAACCTTCAGCCTACGGCGGTACCTGGTTTCCCACGTCGAGAAGAATCATCGGCAGCAGATGTACGAGTGCAGCGTGTGCAAGTACAAGAGCAACAACAAGGGCACCCTGAAGAACCACTACATCCGGCTGCACACGAGCAACTACGACTACGCGTGCGACACGTGCGGCAAGCAGTTCAAGATAAAGAAGGCCCTGAATCACCACGTGAAGCAGAACCACAGCGAGGCGCCGCCGATCGTGTGCGACGTCTGCGGTCACTTCAGCAAGAACCTCCACGCTCTCAAGGCTCACATGAAGTACCGGCACTACAAGCCCGAGTTCGTCTGCCGAATATGCCGACGAGGTATGACCACGCAGGAGAACTTGGAGCAGCATCTCATGTGGCACGAGACCAGGGAGAAGGTGCTCTGTCCGACGTGCGGCAAGAGATTCCGGGGACGCGATCTGGACTCGCACATGAGAGTGCACACCGGAGTGAAGCCGTTCCCCTGCCCTGTCTGCGGAAAGACATTTCGCCGGCAAACTGCTCAAGAGCAGCACGTGTTGATCCACACCGGAAAGAGACCCTACATTTGCGATATTTGCGGTCAAGCGTTCGCTCAGAAGCCCGGCTTGATCTGCCACAGGAAGAGACATCCTGGTCCATTGCCTCCGCTACCTGTAGTCTCCATTAAGAATATCGTTACTGAATTCACGAAAGAGTACGCGACCAAAAATACAGTCATAAAGATTGAATAAGATGTACATGTTTGTAGTATTTCTAGTGGATACAACTAATTGTGGCTATTGAATACTTTGCGATTGCGTCGAGGATAATTAAAAATTTGACATAAAATATGATAGCAATATCTCAAAAAGATTATTTATTTAAACAATATTTTTTCGTTTATATAGAAAAGATACATATATATTTTATATTATATATTTTTTAGATGTGATATTTGTATAGATCTTATAAATATTCTTATAAAACGTGTCCTTTTTATTGGTTTTGATATATAGTTGCATACTTTTTTTATGTCAAATTTTGAAGCATGTATATCTTTTTTGCAATTTTCTACTGTATTTTGTATGTAGTTTGCAATAAAAATCACAATTTTTATAAATTTTGTATATATTATTGATTTTCTGTGTGTGACAAATATGTGTGACACGAAAGAATTAAAGAATACGTAGTGTTTTATTTATTTAATATATATATATATATATATCATATTTTTTGTTTAACATCTACAACACATATATAATTAGTCTTTATACAACTCATAATATCATCGTTCAAAATATTTTATTTTCTTTTACTTGAAAATATTTTTGATAAATGATACGATTTTAGACGAAATTTATAAATCCATTTTGATGGTTTGATTTTCGTTTTCTTGTTATTAAAAAAACTTACTATAATATTTTTAGGAAATATTATTTTTAAACAACTATTCCATCATTTTTTTATAATGCCGGAACACATTTAAAAATATTTATATTAATTACGATTTTGAGATTTAATTTAAAGTAATGAATCTTCATATTTTTCACATTCTTTTTGTAGATTAAAAATATTTTCGTGTAAAAAAAAAACTGGAAATCATTCAACACTCTTAATGTCCCAAGTAAGTAAGCTCAATATCCAGCGATAGATTCTGCATCGTGTCTAATAAAATTTAACTCGTTCGTAATTTATGTTTTAGTGATTCTCCCGTGGATCCTCTGAACGTCGCGGACGCCAATCATGCGGAACACTCGCCCGAAAGCATAGAATGCGTACCCGAGTACAATTTAATATCAAATAAAGTCAAACGACACATTGTTAGGAGAAGAAAAACGGGAGAGGACACGAGAAAGCAGAACTTCAGTCCGGACAAAATCGACAAGAAGAGGCCTAAACTTTCGCTGGAGTGTGCCACGTGCGGTAAACGTTTTAGCGAAAAATCTACCATGATAAAACACATGAGCCTTCACAAATACCAGTGCCAAACCTGCTGCCAGAGCTTCAGCCTGAAGCGAGAGCTGAAGCGCCACATCATGAACGTTCACGGGCCTCTTCTGTATCCTTGCAGCATCTGCGACTACAAGAGCAACAACAAGTGCACCCTGAAGGACCACTTCATACGGAAGCACACCAGCGGATTCCAGCACTCCTGCACGGTCTGCAAGAAGCAGTTCAAGATCAAGAACGATCTGAAGCAACACATGAATCAGGTGCACAGCGGCGAGCCGCCCATTATCTGCAGCATCTGCGGACACGCCTGCAAGAACGTGCCCGCCATCAAGGCGCACATGAAGTACCGACACTACAAGCCGGCCTACGAGTGCAAGATCTGTAAGCGCGGTCTCACCACGCAGGAGAACCTCGACCAGCACCTGATCTGGCACGAGCGAAAGGAGAAGGTCGTTTGTCCCACCTGCGGCAAGACCTTCGGTCAGAAGAGGGATTTGGATCTCCACTTGAGGATCCATCAGGGCATCCGGCCGTTCTCCTGCCCAGTCTGCGGCAAAACCTTCCCCAGGAAGACCGCCCAGGAGCAACACATATTAATTCACACCGGCAAAAAGCCGTATATCTGCGACATATGCGGAAATACCTTCGCGCAGAAACCCGGACTCATTTGCCACAGAAAACGGCATCCCGGACCGTTACCGCCGTTGCCTGTGGTATCAATTAAGAAAATAATAATGGACTTTACGCAGGAGTTGGTCTCTTCTACGCAACAAGATAAAATAGATAGCTAAATATTTATTTGAGGCTCTAACGTATCGACGACGAGATTAATTACATTTATACATATTAATTGTAGGACGCAAATTTAGATTCTGTGCGAAAAAACATATGCGGATCAATCCACGAATTTTACAATTTATTTCTCTAAATGTTGAAAACTGTCTTGAGGAAATCTGATCCTTTACAATCTGATTCTTAAGATTTTTGAATGTAGTTTGAAATAATTGAATGACTAGAATAATTATTAAATATGTAATATTGATCCATATATTGAAATTTTAAAATTAAATTTTAAAAATTAATATAATTAAACAAGTTTAATTATATTTTTTGAATTATTTTTACGGACTCTTTTTACTGCCTAAAATATGTTTTAATTAGATGTATAGCCAAACTAACTGACATGTATTTTACGTAAAAAAAATGAGATTTTAAATAGAGAAGTATTTTGTTATATAAATTATAGTCATAATTACTTGTTATATATGTATTAATTTATTACCGGATTACTTCATACTAACGTTTTTGATAAAACTGGAAACTCCACACACACTCAATTTTTTATAGATCCAAGCATAGAATCAGTTCAAAACCCTGCAGAATAAACATTAGGATGCATCATCTTAATTATTTGTTGAATAAATTATAATTTTGTATTATATAATTGTTTAGGGAAAAAAATTTGGAAACAAACGTCTGAAATTTTTATATGTAGATATACACGAGTACTCATCATGCTTCAAAATTATACAACTTAATTTTGTTAATTTTTAACATAAAAATATTATACCGTTTAGTGACAGAATGTGATTTATTATTTGTAGTTTCTATTTTAATTTGACAAAAACAGCTAAATTTTTTAGAATTATTACGTTAATACATTGTTAAGGTTTCTCATGCTATCATATTTATTCGTTGAAGACAAGTGATGAAAAGGGTAGGTATTACTCACAAACTGAAGAAGTAAAAGTAATTCGTTCAACATTCTATTATGAATTCATTATAAAAATGTAGCTAGTTCATTTTTCAGTAGAAAATCACTTTAGTTAATTTTTGTCCTCTTGCAAAATTCTGTTATAAGACGCGTATTTTATTTTCCCCTCCTTTCAGGCAACGACGGGGTAGATCGCGCGCGGTGCACCAATGCGTCAAATGCGGGGCTCGCTTCCGTCACACGCGGAAGCTCGTGGAGCATCTGAAGAATCTGCACAACATCGACCGGGCGTTCAGCTGCGACGAGTGCAACAAGACGTTTCGCAGCCCGATGAACATAGCTCGCCACAAACTGATTCACACGGGGCTGCGGGTGTTCACGTGCGATCTCTGCGAGTACAGCACCAACCAGAAGTCCAATCTGGAGTGCCATCGTCGCCGGCACGCGAAGGACTACAGCCTCAAGTGCGAGACGTGCGGCAAGGGCTTTTTCCACAGGACCGAGTACCTGGAGCACCAGAACGCGCATACGAACAAGAATCTGTATCGCTGCGAGCATTGCTGCAAGCATTATCTGTACAAGAAGAACCTGTCGGTGCACCTGGTGACGCATCACGCCGGCAAGCAGGCCGCCGCGGTGGCGAGGGGCGCGAGGACGAGGCACGCGTGCAAGTTCTGCCCGGAGAGATTCGTGTACAAGCGGCTGCTGGAGAGGCACATGAAGAACCAGCACGGATTCGCGGACGCGCCGGCGAAGCACCTGTGCGACCTGTGCGGCGCGGAGCTGTCGTCGATGAGACGACTGACGGTGCACAAGCGCAATCACGCGGGTGAGAGACTCTTCGAGTGCGACACGTGCGACAAGAGGTTCGCCAGCAGGGAGAACCTGAGCATTCACAAGCGGACGCACACGGGCGACAAGCCGCACGTGTGTCCGCAGTGCGGCCGCGGTTTCACGCAGAGGACGTCGCTGGTCCTGCATCTGCGGTATCACTCGGGACAGAGGCCCTACCAATGTCCGGACTGCGGCAAGGGATTCGTGTCCAACACCTTGCTCAAGAGGCATCGCAAAGTGCACGAGAAGGCGACGTAGTGGCCGAGGTTAAAGGAAAATTTACGATGAGTCTAATACATTCCGATCTTTATCTAGTTAGGATTGACTTGTTGACTGCGATTGTAATATTTCGTAATAAATGTAACACACAAATGATTTTGAAATAATTTTAAATATGTCTCTAAAACTCGCGATTAAATCTTACTCGCCACTTGTGGCTCTCTACAATGCGATCTGTGAGTTCTCTTCAGCTGTGGAAGCGTACTTTATAAAAGCATCGACTTTATCCTAGGTAATGAATGAATGTTAATAGAATTGCAATTACGTTTCTACGCTTTATGTAAATGTGTATCGATTATTGCAGCCAGTGGACGAATAATCACGATTTGAAGGTGAAGAACGGGGACTTGCTTGATCTCGGACAGAAGTGAGTTGCATATAATTCATTTGTTAATAGATATTTCTTGTGCGTTATTTTTCTCTTACATTCACAGAAAATAATTAATGTACAAGTATCGCAGAAATTCAAGTTTTTATTTCAAAATTTATTTGGCGAAACTCAATTTATATTTCTTATCAGAAAATGCAAGAAATTATAATAGATTTAGGTTTTGAATAACTTTTGGGATTAGACTTCGTCAATGCTATTTTAAAAACATAACTAATAAACAATTACTTGCTCAAATTTTTAGTTTACTAAATTTAATTTAAAAATTAAATTTTTAAATGTTTATGATACAAGAGAATATATTTTTAATTTTTATTTCTAACATTTTTATAGATTGTTAACCGAAAATTCATTAGCATAAAATATCAATTTTAATATAAAATATTTTTGTGTAGCTATTTATTAATTTATTAATTCTAATTATATATATTTTATTTATTAATATATTAATTTTAATTTGTATATATTCTTTGTGTTAGAGAAAATAATTGTATAGATCTGACGAAATGTATTTCAAATTAAATAAGTTGTTGATTCAAGCCCCGACTGTAAAGAGAAAAGAGCTGTTCACACGTTTGCTGTTTTTATTACAGATTCGAAGGTGGCGAGAAAACCTGCGAGTTCTGCCAGGCAAAATTCCACTTCGTTACGAGACTGGTCGCGCATTTGAGGATAGCGCACGGTATTCATCGGCCCTTCAAGTGCGTCACTTGCGGCAAGAATTATCCCCAGCAGTTTATGCTTAACGCCCACGTGAAGAAGTGGCACACGCCGAGGACCGTGCCATGCAATCAGTGCAGCTTCATGGGTGTCAGCGTGACCGATGTGGAGAAGCACAAACGGCAACGTCATCGAGATCCGAAATTCACATGTGAGATTTGCAACGAGGATTTCGCCGATAAGGACGCTCTGATTGCGCATACAGCGACGCACGATTCTGTGCAGCGATGCAACGCGTGCGATAGCATCTTCAACGACGTATACAGGTATGTTTTCTTGATCGCTGAGGCTGCGTTCGGGGAGACGCTATTAGTGCTATTTGTGTCATTCCTCATTTTATGAAAGTAATGAAGGATACGGATAGAATGATATAAACAGCATTAATAGCGTTATTCCGAACACTAAATGTGCTGTTATTGTTGAATTTATTTATGGCACTTTTCAAACAAAATCTGTAGTTGTTTAGATTTTTCAAAATTCTTCTTTGTATTTGAAGGACGATTAATTCCGTTTCAACAAATCTTGTTTTATTATTAAAACAACTATCATCTTTCTTTGTCAATTTGTTCGTTATCGAGTGAGTCTACGTATCTGCTTTAAAAATAAAAATAAAAATATAAAATTAATAATAATAAATATAAATTTAAAAATAAAGACTAAAGTTTCTTCGTTCTCCCTTTGGAATTAAAAAATATTGTCGTAATATTTTAAATCAATTAATTTTACGATATCGAGGTGAAATCGATGTAATTTACAAAAAAGCATTTTGTTACGCAGCTTGAAGGAGCACAATCGTCTCTACCACTACGATCCTGCGTCGAACGAGAGGTTTGAGCAATCCAGCGAGAACGAGTCCGAGCACAAATGCGACGTTTGCAATAAAGTCTACAAGTACAAGTCGATGCTGAAGCAGCACAAGATCAGGACTCACGGTGACCGGTCGAACTACGAGAGACGCAAATACCTTTGCGCGTTGTGCGGCAAGGAGCTGAAGACCGCGAAAGGCCTCGAAATTCACAACAGGTCGCACACCGGCGAGAAACCGTACACCTGCGAAGTGTGCGGCAAGTGTTTTGCCTGCGACACTATGCTTAGGACCCACAATGTCACCCATACCGGAGAACGGAAGCACTCGTGTGATCAATGCGGCAAGGCCTTCACTCAGAGATCCACTCTGGTTGTTCACAAGCGATATCACACAGGTGAACGACCGTACGTTTGTCCTCGGTGCAGTAAGGGTTTCGTCACACGAACTGTCCTTAATACTCATATGAAGTCCTGTCGTTGAGCTTTGTTCACAATGTTTATTGAGTCAATACGAAAGAACTTAGATATTTGAAAATATGTCGCGTTTGTTTCAAATCAATAAGCCCAAATTTTAGGACACTGAACACAGAATTGTTTCAAGATCTTGTAATTGAATAGATAATATTTTTTTCTATTATACGCATAAAATGTAACAGAGGTCAATTTTTCTTAAGATAAAAGATGCATAAACACGCGTATAATTTCATTCATACTTTTTTATTTCAAAGAAAAAATTTTTAAAAATAATTTTAAAACCAATCGTCTAAGCTAGAAACCTCTCTTGAATAATTGTTTGTGCTTATTTATTTTTTTGCTCGAGTAAAACTAATTTTAAAAAGAGGACTTCCTTACCCCTCTGCTTCCCTCGGAGCTTCCGGAATCGGCTATATTATGCTACTAGCTCGATAAAAGATCTAGATGATAAATTTTTTACACCGCTAAAGTTCCGAAAATATAATTAAGGACTAAATTTTTGTTTTACCTCAGGATAGATAAATATATTTTGTAATTTTAGTAAAGGAACCGTCCGTGATAATCATAAGAAAGATAAAGCATCCCCTTTTTACATATTAGTAAGAGATACTGTTAATTATAAGTGATAATAATGCGTATATTATTGCATAAAACAAAAGATAGATACATAAAAATTATAATAAAAATACTTTTTTATATTGATTTGTTAGACTTAACTGTAACAAGATAAAAATACTTAAAAGTATTAATATCAGTGAGATGCATTTTTTAATACAATTTAGAATTATACTTTAAGTATATTTTTATATGCTTTTTATAAAAAAATATTCTTGATTGTGATATATAATGTAATATTATTCGTTATACACAATATTAGCATTTGTTCTGTAAAGTGTAATCACATTCTCATAATTAATGTGTTATTTTTATATATATTTCATATATATTTTTCTATAAATAATCATTGCCAATTTATACTGTTATATATATTCGTATCCTTGCGGATAACATAAAAATAAAATGCGGGAAAAATGCAATCTAATGATTTTATATAAATTTCTTATAAATTGACAATTATTACATATATTTAATAAATAATAAGCTTTATAATATTTATATGTGCTATTATGTCTACAAACATATATATACCCTCCAATATAAATCTAATGTTAGTTATAAATTAAACACCAATTCGTTGCAATATAAAGCGCAAAGCATTAATTTTCAAGCGTGAATCAATAATATTGAGAGCTAATTGATAATCAATATTTTGCCAATAATTTGTGCTAAGATACATATTAGTTATTTAAGACTTTAATTAAAATTAATTATTTATCAATTTTAATATTTTTATATTTTTATACACTGCTTGTTGTCACAATCATATATTATAATATTTTATTTCAAGACTATTATTATTTTGTCACATTATTGAATAAAAAAAGATATATATTATGACGTCGCAAAATAGATATAGCATTTTTTTCGTCAAATCGTCGATATTCGAAGTTGTTAGTGGAAACAAGATAAATCATCAATAGAAGAATAGGATCGAGGTGGGATCTTCAATTCGAAAGTCGACTCCTTGCTCGTGCATTTTGCGATCGTATCGATAATTTATATCATTCAGTATAGCACGATTTTGGACATTGACATTCCGAGGTTTTACATGTATTGTTCTGAAATCTACATTCATGTTCAGTCAAATGTATTGTTGCTGTAAGAAATTTTCTACTTACGAGTTTTACGTTCGGCTTGAAGCTGGCATATTTCGCGTAAAGTCTCGAGGCTCCTTATAATTCCATCGTATTGCAGTCTCATCAACCGCTTGCAACGTATCAGCATGGACATCAACAAATCATCGAGTGATTCACGATTGTTTCTAAGTTGCAGCATAACTTCAACTGCAAAAGAAAATGTTTTTTTCTTAATCATAACGATAGGTACAGAATTCATGCAACGAAGAAAGCTCGATTTTATAATTAGAATTTATATGATAAATTCGGCAGCACTAACAAATATTTTACTTTATATCATTGAGTCTCGAAAATTGATTAGCAGATACAGCTAAAATACCTAAGGTATTCGTGTATTGAGTAATTATCAGACCAATTGTGTTTCTGAAGTTCCGGGACCTGCTCTGATCCCATACGTGCCCGCTGAACATGTGGAACTTAGCTAGGGGAACACTGGGCAATAGCAAGTAGTACATATCCTCGTAATGCGAGATGTTCACTGAAAATCAGACTTGAAAAGCTGAATGATGCAATAATTCTGAATAAGTCTACCGTAAATTATATATGTGCGAATGTGAAAATTAAACCTATTCCCGTTAAATTAATTTTCTGTATTTTTTAGAAGACTGTTCTATAATAAAAATAAAAAATAAAATTAAAAACTTTAAAATGATTTATCTAATCGCGTCTAGTTAAACTGTGAAGATATTATATCGATCCTGGAAGTGAGAGAAAACGGAGAAATAAACTCAAACATGCGAATTTATAATGAATGTAGAGATATTTAAATGTATAACAACATTCTGTTATACCTATAGTATAGGACACTGTCAAATCGGGGCAAGCTAACACCAAGTTGCGCCATGCAGCGTCCGCTACCACGTGTTGCCTAGAATCCGAATCTCTCACGGATATGTACAAGTATTTCAACGCTTTCGATGCTCCGCTCGCGAGAGCATCAAGAGCGTGATTCGATAAAGCCGGATAGTCCAATTTCAACACAGTTAGTGCGTGAAAACGGCTCAGCAGGCGCAAATATCTAGAAAACAATTCAAACACATGTTCGTCATAGTTTATAAAATTGTTACGAATATAAATTCTGAAGTTATGAAAACACTTGAGGCTTTCATGAATATACAACTCTAAGTTGTATATTCATGCATGTGTAAAATATTTTCTAGCGTTCTCTGTGCCTCGGATTGTCGTGAGGAGCTTGCCACTCTCTAAAGGCGCCGCGGAGGTCCAGGGAGACTAGGTGTTCACCGGATCCTTTGGCGACTGTTCCCAGCAGTCGCAAGACGTCTGTCACGCTAAAGTCGGCGTTTAACAAGCTCAGGATCTCCAGGCTGCGTTGACCGCTGGGAAAACGGGAAAAAGGATCTTAAGCTCTTACATTTCATCTATAAGATCAAATATACAAAGTGACAATTTGATCACCGTAGAAAGTTCGCCAGGGCACAGAGCAATGTTCCCCGATTGCCCCACTTGTAGCCGAAAACCCAGTTCGTCAACGTAAGCCGTCGCAGCTGCACGTCCTTGGCGCGCACGATCGCGAGGAAATCGGCGCCCACCTCGGCCTGAGTGTTGCGTCTGATCCTGATCTGTCTCGGCGAGATGTACGGTCGCGAAAAGGCGAGCTCCAAGCTGCGCATATGCTGTCCATATTTTGCCTGTCAATACGATAAATCGACACCGGCTACGTTAAACGTTTACGTAACGTAATATTAACAATACAGTACAGTGAATTTTTAATTATCAAGATTGTCTTAAAATGATTAAAGTGATTGAGTCAGAGATCGATGAGGATTTGTCGATAAAATTCAAAAGAACTTGAATTCGCAAAAGTTAATTAAATTACGCAGTGAACCTCTTCTCACTATAGCAATATTTATTTTCTTTTTTTTTGTGCCTATTTTCCAAAGTGAATCAGGTTTTTGTCGAATTACGTTTTTCTCTTCAAATTCACGATCTTGATTTCACAACTTGATTTCAAGTTTTACGATAGATTTAATTAAATTCCACGGAAAGAATGTCAACGGATGGCGGAAAATTCCCTTACGGCCAGTTCTCCTGCCAGAGGGAAGTCACCGCGCAGATCACGATCGATGAGAACTGTGACGGATCGCCAGAGCACAGGTGAGGACAATGTGCGATTCCATGATCGACAGACTTGGCTGACGCTGGCGCGATCGACGCGATCGAGGTAGCCAAATATCTGCGTCAATATCAGCTCAGGTAGCTGATCCCACATCTCCCGACTTCAGCTTGACCCGTCCTCATCTCTCCTAGGCGGTCGTTGGTCTAAATTACCGTTGGTCGTTTTATTCCCTGGGTCCTGTTGCCGAATCTCATCGATTGCTGTTGTCAAAAACGATCGATTATAAAGGATTGGATTGAAGTGTGTCCTGAAGCGATATACGCCATACCCAATTAATTAATTAATTATAACTGCAGCAAAAAACATATTTTACTTTTGGAACATTGATATATTCATGATCTACTAATTTTTTATTTCTTAGAGATGGATGTAGATGCGTATTTAATGTTATACATGCATATAAAGTATATTTTAATTAAATATAATTATTTATTTATATTTGTTATCGCAGAATACATTATCATTTTGTCTGACATGCAATTATATTATTATACAATTACAATAACATACGATTATATTATTATTATTATATTAGCATGGTGACAAATAAGCAATTTAATAGTTGAAGAAAGAGAGAGAATTTATACGAGCAAAACGAAAACATTCTTTGAATGATCTTTCAAAATCGTTTGCATTTTAATAATATTGAAATACGAATTTTTTTTAAAACTGAGCAATATGTACATACGTACAGTCATGGACACATCGGTTGCAACACTTTCTTTTTTATAGGTTTCAAAATGCGTTAATATTTTACAAATGCGGACCACGATTGGTGTTATACTGTCTCTAGACTAAAGATAGTACATCGTGGTTCGCATTTGCAAAATATAAGTTATCTATAAAATATATATTATGTATATTAAATATATATTAGAAACCTATAAAAAAAATGTGTTGCAACCGATGTGTCCACGACTGTACACATCACAGATTTTTATATAAATCGCTAGCTCCGAGAAATGAAGTAAAGTCAAATAACTCAGAAGGAGGGTAGCAGCTATCTTTACTCAGTGATGGGTTACATTTCGAAACATCATTATTAAATGTACATACACTAACATTACTTCATAAAGCACTGTATGCGATTACCGGATTCAACACAACTGGTAACAAACTATAGCATGTTAGCAACCTAGATATAGAATTATTATCTGTGATATACATACATACATATTAAAAAATTCTACAATTTTATATTTTAAACGACGATTTATCGATTGCAGAATTATCGATAACGGTTCGATATATCGGCAGCCACGACGTCGATATGTCGCAAAACAGCGTGTAGCTGTGTATGCCGGTATTATTTTGTAGGACGTCTCAGAACGCTTATTTAAATGCGAGTCTTTGTGTGTGCTTCTCGTCAAAAATAAGAAAAAGAAGCTTATAATATATTTTGTATAATTTTGTATGTTATAACCTATCGAGAAGATCGCTGTTACGTGACGTAGCTTAAATTTGATAAAATCCTACATCTTCAATTTAGTAAAAGCTATAATTTAAAGCTACTTATTTCCTCGAAAGTATAAACTGTCGCGAAAGATATTTACAGCTCTAGGAATGCATTCTCTAAGGAAACTGTCCGCGTCATTTAGTCGTACCCTGAGAAATAACGTACGACGAAACCTAACCTCCCAACCTGCTGCGAATGTGAATGTTGACAAAGGTATGTATTGAACTATTTGAAGTATTCGCACGAATTGCAAGCAGACATAAGATTTGGTAAACACGTGCTTTTATTTTAGAAAAAACGATATTGGTGAAACAGATGGGTAAGGTGACTACAATCGGTATTAACCGTCCCGAAAAGAGGAATTGCCTGGACGTGGCGACTGCACGTCTACTGTCAGAAACGTTGGACGAATTCGAAAATAACGAAGAGTCATTAGTGGGAGTGTTGTACGGAGTGGGTGGCAATTTCTGCGCTGGTTACGATCTCAAAGAGATCGCGGAGTACAACGGCGAGAACGAGGAAAGCATACCACATTTTGGACCACTGGTATATTCGCGTGTTATACTTGTGAAATTACAAAACGACGCACTTGTCTCCGAAATGTCTGGAAGTCTCTTTTCGGATTCTTTACAGGCAAATAGAACTGAATTGTCCAAGAAACCGTTGGTCGCAGCTTTGAATGGATACGCAGTCGGGGTGGGATTCGAGCTCGCTCTAATGTGCGACTTGAGAGTCATCGAGGATACAGCGATGGTGGGCTTCGTGAATCGACGTTTCGGCATTCCGATTTCGTTTGGGGGCACCGTCCGTTTGCCCGCCATGATTGGATATTCCAGAGCTATGGATCTGATACTGACCGGAAGATTAGCTACTGCGCAGGAAGCGTTTGATTGGGGAATTGCGCACAGATACACATCTTGCGGTGCAGGTACGACGAGGCTTCTTTTATTTTATATCTCAGGGAGAGAACGTATTACGATGCATAGAATCCTTTATAGAATAAATTAAGATAAAGATCTTGCAGTGCTCTTTCTCATATGTATATTTATTACATGTATTTATGTATTATTTCAAGTCATTTGATTGTATGAAATCATTGATGATAGTATATGTGTATGAGTGTATCTGCAAATATCCAATCTTTTCCAGCTTTGGGCACAACAATGAACTTGGCGAATTCTCTTGTAAAATTCCCGCAGAAATGTTTGTTGGCGGATCGCGCCTCGGCATATTTTGCCACGTATTCGCCGAAGCAAATGGAAGAGGCGTTACAATTCGAGAAGGATAACTCTTCGCATTTGATATTTGAGGAAGGTGTTCCAGGTGCCAAGAAATTCGTCGATCATGGAATTGGCAAGCACGGGAAGTTTTATGATATTAAACCGAGAGATACAAGCATTCGAGAACTAGATGAAAATTTATTATAAGAACTTGCGTATATATATATGTGTGTGTGTGTATATATGTGTACATAATGTTTTTTTAGTATAGTTTGTTTTCAAATAAGTATAATAAACTTCTCAATTTTCGTAATACATCTTCGTCAATACAACAAATAGATTATATAAAAAAACATTTAATACATGATATCCATATTTATTCTTTTTACATAAATTAAAATACTATCAAATGCTAAATTTAAAATACTATCCAATACTTTACGATACTTTTACAATACTTTTCATTACTATTGTACGTTATTATGCTTCTTGAGCGCAGATTTAACGGAAGATTTTCGCGCCGGTCTTTGGATTTTCGATAGAATGTCGCAATATTTTTTGGCTGCCTTTCCGGTTAGAAGCGGCGTAAGGTTCATTATCTGCCCGTTTTCATCCCCTGAAAAATATCTTTGGTAAGTCTAGCAATAAATAGTTATAATATTATTATTTACGTTCGAAGGTAACGATAAAGTATGTCAAATCTGATTGAAGAATGTCTGTTCCACGTGTACAAGGTTCATAAAAAGACACATTCTTCTGTTGGCAATTTATTTCGTCGCACAAATCAAACTCGCCTGGAATAAATTGTTTTCTACAAGAGATATTGATTTTTGCGATATTTTTAATAATTACAATTCTATGTCGCTTATCAATTTTAAAATCGAAATTGTACGATCGAAATCGTATATCAGCAAAGTTAATATAATCAATATATTGAAAGATTTTTATTTTATTTCACTTTTATTTATAAGTACCATTCACACGTCCAACTTTTCTTATATAATTAAGTATCATCTTAATCGGACAATTTATGTTCACTAACACCTCCCTGTCCACAGACGTGGCTTCTGAACGTTCAGCTTCATCGCCATTTGACAAATATTCTGTAATTATAATTTTAATTATCATATTAATATGACCCATTTAAGAAGATAATTATTTCATACCAACGTATTTAACTCTTATGATGCTTGTCATGTCTGTCCGATATAAAATACGACAAGATAGATTGCATGTTCTGTTTTTTTTTTTAATGCATCGTTAACTTCAGTCATAATTAAATGCGCAGCTATAAGCAATACAAATTGCACAGTAATATCGTGGTGCTCTTTGCTATATAATTCAGGTTACATAAATTTTCACAGGAAAGACCAAAAAAAACATTAAAACAATTTTTAAAAGAAATATCTTTTTTTCATAAATGAGAATATATGATATTCCATGTAAAACAGCTGGGTATTTAACATCTAAAAATATTTTTCTCGAATGTATTCGGAATTCGGAACATCCAAGAAGCACTAACTTTGCATAAGTCAACCTCGAATGCATAATCTTCTGGATTCATCGCGCCATATTGATTTTATTTATTAAAATTGATCAATTTTGATACGTGCTTTTATCCCGGTTGTTATTAACCCGAAATTGCTCCCACAATTCATGCGGTCTGTTTAGAACACTCACAATCAGTAGTGATTAGAACATTTGGTACTTGCATTCATTATTGATTTCCCCTCTCGACGATTATGATATCGTTTGCTTCGTTGAATTGTGCTCGTTCGCCACGCGTTGCATGCGGTCTCATTTTTACTGTGTTTGAACTATCCTCATATGTAATTTTACTGAGCTTGCTGCTATAATTCCGCGGCTTCTCCGCATTAACACTCGTGCACTTTTCTCTAACTTTCCATCCATTATTCTCCTCGCGCTCCATACTCACTCGTGAATAGAGTGTTTGACTGATCTCCGATTTCTTGCGATTTTATGCGATTTCAACGTGATTTTAAAGTGATTTTGATTTTTTTTAATTTGAGATAATTTCGAACGATTTCATATGATTTAGATTCGATTTTAGATGATTTCAAATAATTTTAAGTGATTTCATATTTAACTACGTGATTTCAATTTGATGTTAAAATAACTTCAACTGAGTTCAGATTTAACTTGATTTCAAATTAATTAATTTCAATGATAAATGCTTGACTAATTTCGAGTAACCCTTCGACACTCACACTCTGTAGTATGGCAGGATGGATGACAAAAAGATACTACGTAATGCAAAAGAATTTTGTTTATTGCTGTGAAAAACATTAATTCTGAGATTATGTTATTAAATCCTTTAGTATATTAATTGATACTTTTTCTCACCTATTCTGACATACAACTATCTATAACTGTCTCACAAATATATCTGCATATTGTGAGATATTCGTAGCCGGCGAGTATTCTCGGTCGTTCCCATGGAAGCGTTTCTCTCTTGGAATCCTGGAATCTCATATTCTCAATTCAAGTTATCGCGCGGATTTGAGTGGCGAAAGTAATACCGACCGGCCAAACACCACCGTCAAGCCTGTTCAAAGTCGTTACGAAGTGACGAAACAAGTACAGGTGACGGTGCATTGTTACACAACTTCCATTCCTCCGTCATTCCCGGCTTTGTAACAACTAGAATTCAAGATCGAAAGTCCAGTCCAAGAACCCGAAGATAGGTCGCCTCCGTTAAAAGCTAAAAGTTCTCCCCGTCCTGGTGAACGTCTCATATCCACTTCACGGGCTGCAGTTAGCGCAAAGCTTCTTTCTTATCTCTATCTTTCCTCCTCGTGAGGAACTCATCTCCATAATTCCCTATCTCTCGTGTCTTTTCCCCTCCGTCTGCCCCCTTTTCATCGCCGCCCTCAGTTTCTCTGCACTTGACAGCTACTCACGATGGTAATGCGTCAACCACGAGGCACCCTTTTATCTCTCATTGTCGTAACCGCTTGAAAAATGGCGTGAAATTATTTATGTTTCGAACAAAGCATATCCCATTTCGTACTAAATGTAAAGATACGAATGCGGGTATAATACGCGATAGCGCGGAATCGCCTCTGATCTATCTGTTGGACACAATTTTTGCAGACGACTCCAGAAAGGAGTTCTTTGGAGTCTCGGAGACTTGGAGCAAAGTCTCGGTGAGTGAATTGCCTGAAACTCAGACAACGTACAGATATACCTCGGTGAACGTATAACGAGCGAACGGATCGATCCGCGAATCCGATTCGCTCCGTAACTTCTCCGTTCCAAGGGACACCGCGGACTGCATACAAAGCGGACAGTATAAATATCCTAGACCGCCGCGGAGTACTTTGTAGGAATACAAAGCGCGCGGCTGTTGCGCGAAATCACGCCGTTGTTTACGCATAGATATTTCCCGCTCCCTTCCTCCCGCGCGACCGCGATCGCGATTCTATAGCTAAATTCTTGGCGCACGCTGTCGCGAGCGCGTTGTCATCGCCGTCGTGATCGCGACCTATATGTCTAAAAGAAGAAGCGGCCAGCTGTATACGCGAAATCGTTAACGAGGCAATTCCCGGAGAGGCGCATTCGTCATCCGCCCGTCAGCTGTCGAGAGAGAGAGAGAGAGAGAGACCGCCGCGAAGTGCGCGGTTCTCCCTCCTCGCAATTTCTTTGCAGTGATCGGCCTGCGCTTAATACATGGCATTTAAGGCAAACGCGGTGGGGCCTTTCACGAATCGCCATTGTGCGGCTCTCTCGATCCTGTTATTATTAGCGGCTCACGAACCGACGGAGGAAAAGTTCCTTATACCTTCTGCGCGGGAGAGAACCGCAAGGATGCCATTCTTCGCCAAGCCCGGGCGGGCGTTTTATGGTGCAGATGTATCTCGATGCACGATCTCGTCCGGGTCCTCCCGCGTCCGCGGTGAGCCCGTTTTCGAGATGGTTCGATCCTATCCTACACACCTCGTTCTTGTTACGAGAAGAAAATCCGTATTTTATTATCGTGTCGAGAAAGAAAGCGGCACGGAGAAAGAGTTACTTCGCGTAACGACGCGCTTTTTTTGCCCATTTCCTTCCCTCTCTTGCCGTTTGAGAATATTCAGTTTCACTAACGTAAATATCTTTTTTACGTTTGCCTTTACAGTATTGTCTTCAACCGTTCGTATAATTGCACGATTACGGCTACAGGTCAAGACGCTAATAAGATTCATAAGGTGTCATAACATGACTAACGACCATAACGGAGTTATAGCCCTCAAAGCCTCCCGACGCGTTAAAGCAAAGCGTATGATCTTAGAATGGGAATTAAAAGCATTGTGTAACATTAGTGTATCACGCAACGAGTGGAAATCGGTACTGCTGCGCCGAGAATTTTATGAGAGAGAGAGAGAGAGAGAGAGAGAGAGAGAGAGAGAGAGAGAGAGAGCAACGAAAAATCTCGACGCGCTGATCTCGCAAATGAAATCTCTCGTATAGAAGTTGCGCTATTAACTCGGGAATACTCATCGTCCCAAGCAAGCTGACGTAATTTATCGACATTTTAACGTCAAAATGTCGATAATATCAGCGTATTGCTACTTGTATAGTTATTGGCATAAATGATCATCTGAAATTTTTTTCACATTCCAATTAAAAATCATTATTATTAACATATTGTATATTATTGATTATTCTACAATTTGTTATAGTGTTTGAGATCATTATGTACATAGATTTATTCAATATTTTTTTAAAAAAGCAAAGAAAAATTAAAAAATAGATATGGATTATCAATCAGTAAAGAAAACTACTGTGACTGATTGTGAGTGAGCTTCATTTAATTGCTGTTGGAGTATAATATATCACTCCAGGAAATTATTTTTTTGACATAATTATTTATATATGTTTGTAAGGATAAAACTGCGTATAGCCCTTCCCTCCAGAAAATCACGATTGAACAAAAGCCATTACGTAAGATCGATATATCTCCTTCAATTTACTGTAAAAAACGGAAATATTTCTTTGGAATTAAATATGACATTATCTAGTGTCGATTTAGATGTGGATCAATTACAATAGAATAGTAAATTTCGTCATCAAATAAGTGCACAATCCGTAATCCGTTGGACATGCAATACGATATTCCCGTTTGCGACAGTAACAAAAATAAAAATCTGCAAAAGATTAATCAATTAAACACATTACGCGTGTCATCGAGTCGCGAGGAAAGCATACCAACGAAGAGATTAAAATATAAATATTATTTTTATTCGTTCGCTTTAGTTTAAAGCGCGCACAGACCTTGATGTAACTCGTTCTCCGCGTAAAAAGTGAAAAAGGCGACGGATCTTCCGACTCCGAGCGTCCAAAGACCTCGACGGCAGCCTTTCGTCAAAGGACGGAGATGACGTATGCGAAGTACACGTCGTTCGCAGATGTGTAATGAGAGAGTCTTAGGGAAAAGGAAGAAAAGACCTAACCGCACACGATCGTCCTTTTGAGTGTGATATGTCGACGTTTTCGCGTTTCCCATTCTCTCGTACCTCATACCGATCGCACATCTGCATCGCGCTCCAACCATTAAGGTTTTACGAGGTGGATGGATATAAACTACCATCTTTTTTCCTCCCCTTCTCCCTACGTCGTTACCCCCGACAGCAACAGGTTATATCGTCTCGTTCTACTCGACGACAACGACGACGACAACGAGGAGGAGCAGCATATTTTCCCCCCTCCCCTCCGCGTACGCGCAAACAGGACCTGCTGATGCGTCTCGTATATCCGCGAAATTTATTACGAACGCCCGCGGCATAACGCGATAGTATCCTGTTCGATTGCGATGATATAAAACAGCGTCTCTCAGCTATAAACCAAATGGAAATTTGAAAACGGAGCGTTTTAGAGAGATGGCACACAAAGAACAAATATCGATACATTTTTACGATTATATGAGAAGATATAAATTGTGTTTATAAAATTAAATTTATTATATAAGAATAAATAATTATTAACTATAATTTCGAACGAGATTTTATATCTAATAATATTTTTTGTGAATTTTATACTTACATTTTATTATTTCGCTTTTATGCTTTTCATTATTATTTACTGTCGATTCGAACTTGAAACGTAATCTTACGCCAAAATGGAAATATAATTTTATATCATTTATAAATTGATACAAAAACAAAATATTGTTGATATTAATAAGTATCTTACAAAGAACTTATTGCAAGAAATATAATCACGACTAGAACACATTTTATAAATACTTTAATTGTATTTTTAAAAAACTTTTTTTTTAATGGTTTTGAAAAAGTATTTTTTAAGTATTTAAATATTTTATTAAGTTGTTAGGTTTTTATTTAAATATTCAAAATACTTTTGATATTAAAAGTAGGTATAAAGTATATTCATAAGATAATAAATGAAAACGATTTTATAATTATATATCCCGAAAATATTATCACTTTATCTTTTTTTTTTTTTACAAATGAAGTGAAATTAACAAACAGACAATTTGAATCTCAATCGATAATTAAAGAGCGACAAAGTCCTTAGATTCCTTTTCATACTTGAAGACCCATTTCCTAATAGATAAATGTATTGAATAATAATAATAAGTGAAAATAAATCGAAAATGTGAATACACAATTAACAATAGTAGGTATATGCCTACACAGTCAAAGCGGATCTTGCTGTCAAGTAATATTTTTGCGTAAATTTATATACGTTATCTATGCAATATATATTGGACCGACCTAGGTACCAAGAAAATTTGAGTAACTGTTACAAACAGCTCGAGTGCATCCCGTTTGTTTGCGCAGCTTAAAACGAATCGACATCGTTTGCGAAGGATTTATCTCGAAGCGAATTTTATACTCATACATTATAAAATCGACGAAAAATCGGCGAGCTCCGCATTCGTGCACGCGCGTCTATCCGCGAGTGCAATAACGGTGTCCATTGATAGTTCTTCTATGCACGAAATAAGATCCGATTATATTGCAGGAGCGAGTCTTAGAAATTTGCAGAAAGCCGCATTTATCTGGAAAATATCTCGTTCTGGAAAATATCTACGTATGCATAACTACACGCGCAAAGCACGTAAACACACGAATGAAGCCGTATATCATTATTACGTACACACTTTCTTATCACAAGAAATGCTACACCAGGGAAGTATTTTTATTGGCTATTGATTATACTGGCACGTGCACGTGCACGTTCGTCGCGTGACACACGGCTAAATTATTATAAGCTCTACGTACGCACGCTTCCGCTATTTATAATGTTACAGCGAATTATATCCGTAAATTTTTACATAAAAACAATTGTTCCCATATTCCATATCGTATTTTTAATTAAATATATTCTTCGAGCAAAATGTATATTTAAAAAAAGGAGCAAAAGAGCACCAGAATTTTTATTACTCAGTTTATTTTTTCCTTTGATTGTTTATCGTACGTCCTACAGTACATATTGGTACTTAGTTTGCTTTAATGTCATTCCTCCCTCACAAACGCAAAATATCTAGGACACATTAATGAAATTGATTTAATTACGATATGAAATAACAATGTACTTAATTACATTGTCAACAAGAATTGACATTCTTCATTTCTATCTTATCTCTTAAAATTTCCACGGTCTTTTCGTAAATATTTTCCTTTTCAACATTTTGCTACTGAGCCTATATCGTTCTGCTTGCCTTAGTCATATCCGTGACGTGAAAGGAAGCATAGCGTCCATATGTTGGACGATTAATAGATTCTTATTTATCAAACTTTCATTTACCCATCTTTTATGGAGTAGATACACGCGACCTTTCGAATTTTTTTTTTCCTTTTTATTGCATATTAAGTACGCTTTAAGTAAGCGCAAACTCCCGATCGACGGTGTCACGAAACGTCCGCGTTGCAGGTGGTAATATACCTGGCTGCCCCCGCTTTCGAACTCCTCGAGGAAGTCCGCTGTGTGTGCAACGAACAAAGACTCTCCCAACGTTTTCACCGACGGCTTTTGAGATCCCAGTGGCCAGATAAGCGCGGGTATATCGTGGAATAATGCTTTATAGAACGGGTCATTAAAATCCGCTCGATCTTCCCTATAAGTG